TATATTATATTAATTGCCGTAGTATTTGGCTATTACAAAGATTCGGTAGGACAAAAGTGTGTAATAATCGTATAATGTGGAATGAATTGCCCCTTGTTAGGACAAGGAGGGGGGTTTTTATACAAGCAAACCCCCCAACCGCCTCCCCTTAAATCGGGGGTGGTTAGATCTCAAACTTGACCGGGTCCGGGTGGACCGGGTCGGGTCGGGTCCCGAGCCCGGGTGGTGCCGAGCTCGGGTAGGACCGAGCTCCCCGACCCGAGCTCCACGTAGGTCGGCTCTGGTCGGGGCACCTCCATGGTGCTCTGGGTCCGCGTTGCTCTTGTGCACCTTCGTGGTCCCCCGGGTCCGTGTCGCTCTTGGGCACCTCCGTGGTCCCCCGGGTCCGTGTTGCTCTTGGGCACCACCGTGGTCCCCCGGGTCCGTGTTGCTCTTAGGCACCTCCGTGGTCCCCCGGGTCCGTGTTGCTCTTGGGCACCTCCGTGGTCCCCTGGGTCCGTGTTGCTTTTAGGCACCTCCGTGGTCCTCCGGGTCCGTGTTGCTACCCCGGGTCGGGTCGTGGGTATAATATATCCATCATGAGTCCCCCACTCTCTTCGTTGCGAGTGGAAGTCAACGAATGAGAGTATCCGTACGCCAACCCGAGCCCCCTGAGTGGAAAATTCCGAGCTCCAAAATTTAGCCGACCCCCTCCAAGAATTATATCGCGGATAGAATTCTTGCTCCGTGAAAAAATCTCTTCAGATAAGTTAGAATCCCTACAAAGGTGCACACTTCCCTATAAAGTCTTGGAAATCTCCCCTAATAAATCCAAACAACTTTTCATCTCTTACCCCATAAATTCTCTCTCTTCTCAATCCCTTTTTTGAATTTCAAAATTGGTCAAACCTTATCCCCTCTCTCTCTTCCCAACAATCTATAAAAACCCCCCCATTCCCTTCACATTTTCCTCACACCATTCTCCCTCACTAGCAAAAATCCTCCCAAATTCTCCTCAAGTCACAAGTGCTCTCCCGGGTTTTCAAGTCAAGTTTTTGCTCTGTGGTTGGTTAGTTCCTCCTCTTTCCTCTTTCCTTTCTCCCATTCCTCCGCAGATTTTTTTTTTTTTTTTTTTTTTTTTTTTTTTCCGGCCAGCTCGCCGCCGGTCACCGCCGAGCTCCGGCGAGGTCACCGCCGAGCTGCTGCCGTCCTCCGGCCGAGCAGCACCGAGCTGCTGCCCATGGCCACCGGTGAAGGTCCGGCCGACCCCCCCCCCCCCCCCCCTTTCCGGGTCCGGCCGACCCCCCCTTGGGGTGCACGCACCTCCACCCCTTTTTGGTCCTCCTACCTTGTGCTCCTCCATTTCGGGTGCACGTACCTCCACCTTTTTGGTCCTCCTACCTTGTGCTCCTCAATCTCGGGTGCACGTACCTCCCCCTTCTTGGTCCACCTTCCTTGTATGTCCTTCAACTTTGATCTAAACGTGTTAGACTCCATTAGTGACAGTGAGGTCGATATGGATGACCCCAACAACTCTGTCAACGGCTTTCCTTCCCCTGGCAACGAGGCTACCGACCTCCACGGGCTCCCCGGGCCCGGCCACCCCCACCGTATCGAGCCCGCTGCCGACCCCGAGCCGGTAGAGTACACCTCTTTGGGGCAGGACACTCCACGTACTACCCTTGTCGACCTCTCACGCGGTCAGTTGGACAGGGCCGTGAGAGCTGCTGGGCCGGGTGTTGAGGTGGTGGAGCCCTCTGCTGGTGATAATGTTACGGAGCCCCCGAGCCGCCATCATTTTGGCCTTCATGTCTTATCTCTTTTAAACAGGTTCCGGTTTCCTATCCATCCTTTCACTGTGGACCTCCTCAACTTCTACGAGATTGGTCCGGGTCAGTTAGTCCCGAACTCCCATTATGTGATTCTGGCCTTCCTCTTGAGGTTCCAGGAGATCCGGGTCGAGCCTTATCTCGATTTGTTCAATTTCCTCTTTCATGTCACTGTTTCTTTCGGCAGCTTGAGTAAGGGTTGGGTGGCTTTCTCGGCTCGCCCCCACATGAAGATTATCCAGAACATCCAATCCTCAAATCACCAGTGGAAGCCCATGTTCGTTTATGTCTCTGTGGGTCCTGAGCTGCCCTTTGCGTTCTCGTGGAATACCCGCTTCCGAAAGCACGTGACCCCCCGGGAGAGTGAGGATCTGATGAGGGACGTGCATGCCTTCCGCCACCCGGGTCCTCGTATCTATATAGCGCCCCTGCTGACCGAGGAGAACATGGTGCGCCTGGGCTTCACTCCGGGTACTTCGCTGCCGCCCCCGCCTCCTGTCCGCCGTGATGATGTTTCCGATCCTGACCAAGGCCGTGACGATGTCTCCGATCCCGGCCGCAGCCCCGGCCCCGACCCCATCTCGGTGAATACGCCGTCTGGGGATGAGGAGGACTTGGAGAGCTCGGGGGAGCTTGCCTTCGAGATTCTTCGTGCCCCTACGCCCGAGGCCGACCCCTTCAATTCGGCCGCTGCAGCGCCCTCTCATGTGGATTCGCCGGCTTCCTTGTCCGAGAGCGAGTTGACGTTGTCCATTGCCGTCCCGGGAGGTCCATATTCATTAATCCCTGCTTATCTTCTTCCTTTGTACACATTTGATTTACTTTTAAATGTGCCCCGTATAACCTTGCTTGTGCGGCTGTTGACAGGTAGAGCGGGTACTATGCCGCCCCGCCGGGTGCAGCTTCTAGAGGAGATTCGGGAGTCTCGTGCGTCCAAGAGACGCAGGACTGCGGGGGGAGGTACGAGCCAGGCCGCCCGGGCTCCGACTTCTGGGCAGCGTATTGGTCCCGAGGTGGCCCCACCGGCCCCTCTCATTGCTCCTCGCCCCCCTCTCCCCCCTCCTTCGGCCCCACCGCGCGTGAGTCCCGCGCGCAGCTCCGTGGACCGCGCCCATGCTCGTGCTGTGCTTCATCCCGTAGTCACTGCTACTGCTCCCGGTGTGGAGTCCTTCTAGGTGGAGGATGCTGCTACTTACGCCTATGAGGTAAAAAATTTCTTGTTTTACTTCTATTCGATAGGCTCGAGGATGTTTTCCTTACTCTATTTGTTTGCAGGCTGTGCAGCGTTGGCTACTGCTTGCCAACGCTTATGAGGCCTCCCAGGTACGGGTGGGTGCGCTCACCCATGCTATGGAGGTTGTCAGGCGGTCCCACCAGACTGAGCTGGAGAGGTTGCGTAGAGAGCGACAGGTAGAGGTGGAGGGGCTACGTGGGGAGCTTTCCCGGGCTGTGCTCACCTTCTTGGCGTCCGAGGATTTCAGGACTAGAGCCATGTCGTACGCCCGTGATCACATGGCCGAGCTGGTGGAGGAGTGGTTGGCTTCCGATGAGGGTCAACGCTGGGTGGCTACTGAGAGTTATTCATCGTACGAGGCCGGACGATATACGATGCAGGAGCAGATTTATCGCGTCCTCCGTGAGCAGGACAGCACCTTCGACCCCGTGAGCAGGGGTCTGCCGGAGGTGGAGCTCAACCCGGATGAGCCTAGCCCTGATCTGACCGCTCTTGATTCCCCCACGCTGGCGGGCGGGAACCGGACTCTAGAGGAGCCCATAGACCTGGCCGCCCTTGATCGATACGTTGCTGAAAACCCCCTCCCGTCCGGCACCGTTCCTCCTGACTTGGAGGGTCTCCAGTTTCCCGCGACCTTGGAGGAGTATGCTGCAGAGTGCCAGGCCAGTGATGCTGCCCGCGGTGGTTCGGATGCGAGTACTTAGATTTATTTGGACTTCTTGTTTTGATATTTTGTAGCCCTTGAGGCCGACACTTGCTCTTTTGTTATGCTAGACTCGTTACTTCGACTGCTTTAGCTAGTACGAACTCATTTCCCCTTTTTGATATATGTCACTTGGATGTTATGGCTACTGCTGCTTTGTTTCAGTGACGGGTGCCACCTTTTACCTGCTATCGCCTCCCCCTGAAATACTTGGGATTTTATTTTTTATTTTTTTTTTGCCACCTCGGCAGTTGCCGAGGTCTTGCCGAGGTGGACCTCGGCAACTCACCGAGGTGGGCCTCGGCAGTTGCCGAGGCGGACCTCGGCAACTGGCCGAGGTGGGCCTCGGCAGTTGCCGAGGGGGACCTCGGCAACTGGCCGAGGTGGACCTCGGCAGCTTGCCGAGGCCGGCCTGGCAATATTTTTATTTTTATTTTTATTTTTTATTTTTTTTTGCCGTGTGCTAGCCTCTTCAACAAAGTCCTACGGGACTATGTCCTCGGGCTCTCCCGTCGGGGTTGGTACGCGAGGTCGGACCTCGTGCCCCCTTAGGGTACGTTAGCCTCCCGGGCTAAGTCCTTCCGGACTACGCCACCGGGCTCTTCCGTCGGGGTTTGTACGCGAGGACGGACCTCGTGCCCCCTTAGGGTGCGCCAAACCGCTTGGGCCCAGTCCTGCAGGACCAAACCACCGGGCTCCTCCGTCGGGGTTTGTACGCGAGGTTAGACCTCGTGCCCACTTAGGGTGCGCCAAACCGCTTGGGCCCAGTCCTGCAGAACCAAACCACCTGGCTCCTCCGTCGGGGTTTGTACGCGAGGTTAGACCTCGTGCCCCCTTAGGGTGCGCGTTAGCTGCTCGGGCACAGTCCGATGGGACTGTGCCACCGGGCTCTTCGGGGTTGGTACGCGAGGTCGTCCCTCGTGCCCCTTAGGGCGCGTCTTCCGTCGGGGTTAGTACGCGAGGCCGGACCTCGTGCCCCCTTAGGGTCCGCGGGGGGGGGGGGGGGGGGGGGGAGGGGAGGGAAGATATGAGTGAGCCCTCGTTCCCCCCTGTTTCACGTTTTTTTTTTTTTTTTTTTTAAGGGAGATAAAATGCATGAGAACCAACTTTGTAACAAAAGGGATCCTGCGCACAATGTGTTCTGTAATATGCGATTTTATTCCGACTATTGCCGCTCACTAAGACATTATTAGGGGAGGGGAATGGCCTCCCTCCTAGAATAGCAACGCCAAGACCCTCCTCTCACGTGGCAGGTCTACTGATAAAATTTCAGCAGGTGCTCTGAATTCCAAACCCTGGCTATCATCTTTCCTTTGGGAGTTTTGAGCTTGTAGCTGCCCGGGCGGGCCACGGCTGCTATAATGTACGGGCCCTCCCAATTAGGGGCAAACTTTCCTCCGGCTTGGGGCTGGCTCGCCTCCCTTCTCCTGAGCACATAGTCACCCACTTGGAAATAGCGGGGTCGGACCCGCTTATCGTGATATGCCTTGGTCTGCCTCTGGTAGTTTTCAGCTCGAATCGTGGCTGCTTCGCGCCTGTCATCAATCATGTGGAGGTCAATTCTATGGTGCTCCTCGTTCGTGTCAGGGTCGTAGTCCTCCTCCCGTCGGGAAGGTATGACTACCTCCGTTGGAGCTCGGGCTTCGAAACCGTAGGCTAAGGAAAAAGGCGTCTCCCCAGTAGCCCTCCGGGGGGTGGTGCGGTAGGCCCAAAGAATGGCGTCGAGCTCCTCCACCCACGCTCCCCCCGTGGATTCCAGTTTCTTTTTCAGGCCACCCACAATGGTGCGGTTGGCATTTTCCACCTGGCAATTTGCTTGAGGGTAGCATACTGCTACCCGGCTGTGGGTAATGTGCCATTCTGCACAGAATCCCTCGAACTCTTGCCCCTCGAATTGGCGTCCGTTGTCGGTGATGAGTTGCATCGGGACCCCAAAACGACACAAAATATTTTTGTACACAAAGTGCTTGCAACGGGCACTTGTTATGGTTGCCAGCGGTTCCGCCTCTACCCACTTGGTGAAGTAGTCCACTGCTACTATGAGGTACTTCCTTTTTCCCGACCCCATGGGCAGAGCTCCCACTAGGTCCACTCCCCACCTGGAGAAGGGGATGACCGAGCTGATGGGGGTGTAGCTCGTGGCTGGCCGGCCGGGGGTGACTTGGAAGTGTTGGCAGGTCTCGCAACCCCGGGCATAGTCGGCACAGTCCTTGGCCATTTTGGGCCAAAAGTACCCCTGTAAGATGGCCCTCCGGGACATGGCGAAGGCCCCCTGGTGGGCTGAATAGGTCCCTTCGTGGATTTCTTCCATGACTGACCTGGCTTCGTCTGGGTACAAGCAACGTAGCAAGGCGCCGTTATAGGACCTCTTGTAGAGTATGTCCCCCATGACCACGTACGTGGGGGCCCGCCGTTTCACCAGCTTGGCGTCGACCTCGTCGGGAGGTAGCGTGCCTGTCTTCTTATACTCCTTGAGGTGGTCCAACCAGCAGGGAGGTCGGATTTGCACGGGTAGGACCGGGTAGGCATCCAGGTTCGACCTCTTGAAATCTTCAATTCGGGCTATCTTGGAGATATGTTCCGGGGCCCCTTGGGCGAGCTTGGATAACATGTCAGCATCTGTGTTCTGGTCTCGGGGTACCTGTAGGACCTCATAATTGATCAGCTGCCCCAGTAGCTGGAGCACCACGTCCCGGTACCTCCTCATTCTTTCATCACTTGCTTCAAATTCACCTGTGACCTGTCCCACCACGAGTCTAGAGTCACATCGGATTTTGAGCTTCTCCACCCTCATATTTAGTGCGAGGCAGAGCCCTCCCAGGAGTGCTTCATACTCGGCCTCGTTGTTGGACAATTTGAACGCGAAGCGGAGGGCGTAGTAGGCCCGAAACCCCTCCGGTGTTATGAGGACGACTCCACCCCCGCAGCTTTTGGTGCTGGAGGACCCGTCCGTTGAGAGGGTCCACCACTCCTCGTCTTCGTCCCTGACCCGCTCCGTTGCCTCTCGGGCAGTGCACTCGACTATAAAGTCAGCCAGCGCCTGCCCCTTGATGGCGGGTCGGGGCTTGAACTGGATGTCAAACTGGCTCAGCCGCATGGCCCACCTGACCAGCCTGCTTGCCGACCCCGAGGCCCTCAGTACTGCGTCTAGCGGCTGGTTGGTGAGGACCTGCACGGGGTAGGCCTGGAAGTAGTGGTTCAGCTTCTTTGCCGTCGCATCTACTGCAAAAATGGCCTTTTCCACGGGTGTGTACCTGATCTCTGCTCCCCGTAGAGCTCGGCTCGTGGAGTATACGGGCCGCTCGACCCCCTCGTCGTCCCGGACCAGCACAGAGCTGACCGCGGCCTGCGAGATGCCCAAGTATAGATATAGGACCTCCCCCTTAACGGGTTTGGCCAGGGGGGGGGGGAGCGACATTAGGTACGTCTTGAGGTCTTCGAACGCCTTCTGGCACTCCTCGGACCATTCGAAGCCTTTAGTCTTTTTTAGGACTCCAAAGAACGGTAAGGCCTTCTCGGCCGACCTCGAAAGGAAACGGCCCAGGGTTGCCAATCGCTCGTTGAGGCGCTGGACCTCCCGGAGGGACCTCGGAGGTTCCATGTCCAGGATGGCCTTGACCTTGTTGGGGTTGGGCTCAATGCCCCTCTTCGAGACCATGTACCCCAAAAATTTCCCCCCGTGCACCCCGAAGGTGTACTTTTTGGGGTTCAGCCGTAAATTGAAGCGTTGCATAATTGAAAATACCTCGGTAAGCTCATCTGTGTGGAGGTCGGCGTCGGTGCTCTTGACGATCATGTCGTCGACGTAGGCCTGGAGGTTGCGACCGAGGACCTGCTTGAACACCTTGGCCACCATTCGGGTGTAGGTGGCACCTGAATTTTTCAGTCCGAAAGCCATAACCTTGTAGCAATAGACCCCCTCTGGCGTGGTGAAGGCTGTCTTCTCCTCGTCAGCCTCCTCCATAAAAATTTGGTGGTACCCCCTGAACGCATCTAGGAAGCTCATAAGGGCACACCCTGCAGTCTCGTCCACCAGCTGATCGATGTTGGGGAGGGGAAAGGGGTCCATAGGGCAAGCCTTGTTGAGGTCGGTGTAGTCCACGCACATCCTCCAGGTGGGCGGCTTTGGGGCGAGGACTACGTTGGCCAGCCAGGTGGGGTATATGACCTCCCTAACATGACCAATCTCCAGCAGTGTGTCGACTTCCTTTTTGACGAACTCCCTCCTCTCGGCGGAGAGGTACCTTTTGCGCTGCTGGATTGGCCTGACCGCGGGGTCAACGGCCAACTTGTGTGTGATCACGTCTCGGCTGAGGGCCCGGCATGTCCTCGGGACCCCATGCAAAGACCTCCTTGTAGCTCCTGATGGTGTTGATTATCCGTGCCCGGAGCTCGGCCGGGAGGCCGACCCCTACCTTCACAACCCGGTCGGGTCGGCTGAGGTCGAGGATGACCTCCTCTGTCTCGACTACGGGCTCGGCCCGAGGTCGACCTACCTCCTCCTGAAATGCCTTCTCGGCGATGGTATGTACCTGGAGGTCCTTTTGACCAATCTGGCGGCACGCCTTCAAGTAGCAGCTGCGGCTTACCTTTTGGTCCCCCCGGGCGACCCCGACCCCGATCGGTGCCGGGAACTTGAGACACAGGTGCTCCATGGAAATTACGCACCTGAGGTCCTCCAGGGCGGGTCGGCCGAGTATTATGTTGTGGGCGCAACTGATTTTCACGACTACGAACTCGACCTCCCACCTCCTGGTGTGAGGTGGGGTGCCTATCTCTACCTCTAGACTGATCGACCACTCTGTCTCAATTGAGTCCCCCGTGAACCCGGACAGGGGGGTGCGTACCTGCGCCAGCTGCCCTCTTGAGAGTCCCAGCTGGGTGAACGTGTCGTAGTACATGACGTTCACCGAGCTACCCGTGTCTACGAGCACCCGGTGCACCACCACGTTGTTGATGTCCAGCTTGACCACCAGGGCGTCTCGGTGGGGGAGGGGCCCGTCTGGCAGGTCGGCGTCGGTGAACGTGATGGGCTCCCTCTTTGGTTTCTTCTCATGGGGGGTACGTGTGACCTCCCCCACGTACAAGCTCCTCGCCCACCTCTTCTGCTCGGCTGGCGAGTCCCCTCCCTCGGGCCCCCCGAAGATGACGTAGATGGCCCGTTTCCTCGGGGGCTGGGAGTCCTCCGTCGTCTTCTCCTCTGATGTTATCACATATTTGCTTGTTATTATAGTTATTTTTGAATCATCACAGTGATTAAGTTCTTTAATTTTGTCTATTTAATACATATTTTCCTTGCTATTATCATTTAATTATGGTTCACACTTGTTTTGAATGTTTTACGGTGTTTGTTAGTGTTTTTGAACCATTCTAGGTCAAAGATATGAGCAAGGGAAGTTCAAGGATGAGTTTTGAGCAATTTTGGACAAGTTCGGTGCCCAGAGGACTCGACGCGTCGAGCCTTTTGGCTCGACACGTCGAAAATTTCCAGAAAGTCTTCCGATCGAGACCATCAGGTCTCGACGCGTCGAGCCATAGCTCGACGCGTCGAGAATGACGCGAAGAATTACTCATGCGGCAAAGCTTACTGCATGGTGGGCTGCAATGTTGGAGCAACAATTATTCCCTAATCATTGGGACACTCCTTCCTAAGTCAAAGCTTGCTAGCTATAATAACATTCCAACCAAAATAGTGGAACGGCAATTTCTTATTTTAAATATAGGAATTATAATTTGAGTCCAATTTTGTACAAGATTCCTATTTCATCTCAACTTTGTACCCACTATAAAATCCCTCCTTCCTCAACCCTAAAGACCGAGAGATTTTGAGAGTTCTTTGTAGACAAGAAAGAGAGAAATCGAGAGGCTCAAGTCGTCTTTGGAAGCAAGGAGGAAGCCAGGGAGATTTGGGAGAATCGCTTGGTTAATTCTTGTACTCTTCTGATGATTTGTAATCCTTTATTTATATTTGCTATGTATAATTTAGCCATGCTCGGCTAAATTCCTTAGGGATTTTTGGGTGAATTTGTTTGTGAACCTATGTGCCTAGTTCGTTAATTTCTTAATATATTTATGTTTGGTTTTATGATTTGTGTTGCAATCTTGTTTTAATCTGTTGTTGTTGGTAGTTAAAGGCCTAAATTACTAGCTTCACAGTCATGTTTGTGTCACCAATGGGAGTTGGGGCATAAATTAGGGCACACACGATTGCACCTAATGGTTGGTCCTTGGGAAAGGGGAACTTATTAGGGGAAGTTTATTCTAGATTATTGCTCATCGGGAGATGGTAGTGATTAGGAATAATTGAATGCTGATCTTTGATATTATTGGGTGTTTAAGCCATGGGAGTGGAAATTCACTAGGAATAGAGATTACGGGAGTAATTCGATTCCACTTTGCATTCCCATACAAATCTTAATTCCAAACCAAATATTACAAACGTTAATTGGCACTAGGTGATTAAACATTGTGATCCCAAGAATCCTATTTTGCTCTATTATCTACAAAACCTTGCTACTTATTTTATTCTGCTTGTTATTTTATGCAATCAATCAACCTTCAAGTTTTGTTCGGACTAGTTTCATATGAGTAACCTAGTAGCTAGTGATTAGTACACCACCTCTCTGTGGTTCGATAACCCGAATACTCCGGGTATTATTTGTTTGCCCCAAATTACAGCAATCAAATTGGCGTCGTTGCCGGGGAGGTGGCGTTACGTACTGACATTAGTGAAAGTCTTACTTTAGGAGTCTAGTCCATTTTTATTTATTTATTTATTTATTTTTATTTTATTTGCTAATCCATAACAAGTTTCTTGTTCTTGAGTGTGATTTTGCTTTGAATCTAAGAACTTGGCTTTTTATGCATACACGATCTCGTGGGAAAGAAGGATTATTACCTTTGAATCTTGAGATTGAGAAAAGAGCCAAGTTTCTTAGGAAACAAACTAGGATGACACAGGTACAAGAAAATCAAGCTGGAGGGAGATCAATGTCTGACTACCTTGCTCCGGATGTTGAGGAGCATGGTAGCATCAATATTCCAAATGTGGAGGCCAATAACTTTGCGATCAATCCGGCCATACTTAGCATGGCTGCGGCAGATCGATTTGGTGGGATGCCCACGGAAGATCCCAATGCTCACGCCACCAAGTTCCTACGACTTTGTGGCACTTTCAAGATAAATGGAGTCACTCAAGATGCTGTCAGACTTAGGCTTTTTCCCTTTACACTGAAGGACAGGGCTGAAGATTGGTTATCCTCACATCCAGATAACCATTTTGACACTTGGGACAAATTACATGGAGAATTTTTGAAGAAGTTCTATCCTATCTCCAAAACTCAACGGATGAGAAGGGCAATTCAAAACTTTAAGCAACTGGCAACTGAGTCCCTCACTGAGTCTTGGGAGAGATTTAAGGAATTGAAGAGGCAATGTCCACACCATGGATTTCAGAGTTGGGATTTGATGATGTCTTTCTATGAAGGATTGCTGGATAATTCTAGGATTTTGGTGGATGCTTCTTCAGGTGGTTCGTTCACGATTCTAGAGCCAACACAAGCCGAGGAACTATTGGAGAAAATTGCTATGAATGGATCTACTTGGTACACGGAGAGGTCTCCACAAAAGCTGGTAGGAGGAATTCATGATGCGGGGCAGTTAGCCGATTTGTCAACAAAGTTGGATAACGTGGTCTCCTTGGTTCAAAAACTTGCCCAAATCACCAGCCAAAATCACAATTCAGGGGATTGTATCGACGAGTTCAACTCCCAAACCTCTATGGAGCAAGTTAATATGTTGGGATATAATAGGCCTCATCAACAGTCTTACCAACCTCAAGGGACCTTCCATCCTAATAATTCAAGGAACCATCCCGGTTTTTCATGGAGCAACCCAGTGGGAGCCGCCAACCCTCAACACTTTGTTAATAGAGGTCCTCTGGGTTATCAAGGTACTCAAGTTCAATCTAAATTTCCCGTTTCAGAGGCCCCACCACAATCGAATACGGACACTTTGTTGGAAAAATTGATTAAATGTCAGTTAGAGATTACAGAAAGGATGGATAAAATGGAAGCTCGCCAAAATCTGGTTGAAAGGCAATTAGCAAATCAACCTTCTATATCAAGTACTAAAGTCACAGGGAAGTTGCCAGCTATGCCTGAAAATCCAAGGGAGCATGTAAATGCAATTGTTACAAGGAGTGGCAAAATACTTGAAGAGCCACCTCTTCCAATCAAAGCATCAATTCCTAAAAAGACAGTTGAGGAGAAGATTGAAGAGATACTTGATGGTATAGAAGATGAGCCAATTGCTGTGGGAAATAATCCACAAGTTCAAAAGGAAGTAGAGAAACCTGTGAGAAGGTATGTACCCCCATTGCCTTTTCCTCAAAAACTTGAAACAACAAAAGAAAGTAGGTGGAAAAAGTTTTTGGAGATTGTTGAGAGTTTGAAAGTTTCAGTTCCCTTACTTGATTTGCTTTCACAAGTTCCCTCTTATGGAAAATTTTTGAAAGAGATTCTAGCTAAGAAAAAGAAGTATGGGGAACGAGAGATGGTAGCTGGGGCACAAGAGTATCAAGCGTTGACCCCGGGAATTGGGAGGAATATACCTAAGCATAGAGATCCGGGGAAGTTCACAATTCCTTGTGTGATTGGAGGCCGACCTTTAAAGGGATCCCTTTGTGATTTAGGAGCTAGTGTGAGTGTTATGCCTCTTACTCTTTGTCAAGGGTTAGGGTTGGGAAAACCAAAACCAATCCAATTCACCCTAGAAATGGCAGATAGATCCATCGTAAAGCCTATTGGAATCCTTGAAGATGTCCCAGTTCGTGTGGACAAGTATTTTGTGCCTTGTGATTTTATTGTGATAGATGTCCAAAGGAACTTAGACGTTCCATTCATTTTGGGGAGACCCTTCCTAGCCACTATTGGAGCAATGATTGATGCAAGGAAAGGGTCCATGATTTTTGACTTTGGGGAGGAAAAGGTGGAATTTAATGTTCTTGATGAGCCAAAAATCATTGAGTGCAAGTCAATCTTGCACATCGATCCTACTCTCAAGGTGTCACATGATGAGTATTTGCATTTGAAGAGTCTATGGGGTGATGAGATCAAACTCGCGGATCAACCAGGATGAGCACTCCATAACCAGGTTAGGTCAAGCTAGCGAAATTAAACTTAGCGCTTCATGGGAGGCACCCCATGTTATCTTTTATTTATTTCATATTTATTGCTTTCTAGTTCAATTTTATTGCTTTCTAGATTCGTTTTAGTGCTTTCTAGTTCGTGATTATTTTATTGCTTTTTAGTTTTCTCTTTTCTCTTGTTCTACTTTTCTTTTATTTTGCATCAGGGACGATGCAAAGTTTAAGTGTGAGGGGGAGGAATCATTAATTTTGGGATATTTCTAAATTTTTAAAATTTTTGCTTTTGCTTGGATGACTCATATGCTATCTTTGGTGAATAAGCTACTTGTCTTAGCATGCAGTTACAATTATTCTCTCTTGTTGGTTTGTGGTTTGTTTTAGTGGTGTTTGCTGCATCTCAATTTGTGATGGATGATTTGAGGTGTAACACATATTTGATCTATTCCCTTGCCAATAGCTTTGTTAACCACTTAATAATTGGATTAATCCTTGATCTTGTGTTTTGCATTGCTAGTGAAGGCTTATGTGAGATTCCGGTCATGGGTGTTTTTGCTAGAACTTGCCTCATTACTCCCTAAGTGATGTCTAAGTTTTGCATGTTTTGAAGTGATTTAGGCCATTTTTGTTTATCTATACCCTTTAAACCTGTCCCTATATATATTTTATCCTTCGTATCCCCATTGTGCCTTTTGTTTGTTCAAATAAGTGCTAAGCACTTATCCCCTCTTTGTGATTGTTTTTCTTTAATTTACCCCATTATTATAACCCTTAGCCCGTGGCCAAATATTTCCCTTCCACCCTTGAGAGAATGAAACTTTTATCTTTATCTTTTTCGTAAGAAGAGTTTTATGGAGTTGTGCTACGAAAAAAAAAAAGCAGCTAGTGTTACAAATGTTCAAGTGTGGGGGTCATGAAAGTTTGGATTAAAATTATCTTGCTATATCCAAAAGAAGTCCAAAGACAAAGAAAAGAATGAAAAGAAAAAAAAAGAGATTGAAAGTTTTTGAGTTTGGATCCCCACTTTACCAAAGAGTTGCTCAGTTCTTAAAAGAAATTTTCTCCTTGGAATTATGATTATCTCATCTCTTCCAAATTTTGAAAAGTTTAGATAAATTGTGACATTCTCTCTTTTTGATTAATTTTTCCATATCACTTCTTTGTTAGCCATCACCCGTAGCCCCATTACAAGCTTAATAAAGTCCTATTTGATCTCAGCATGTATTCTTAGATTTGATCTAGGGGAGTATGAAAGGCAAGCCTATGGGATCTCATTCATGAACCGTGTCTTGCATAATCTCAACTGAGTACTTGTACACACTTGGTCCTCACACACTTTAAATTCTTGGTGCTTGGTTATTGGCTTGGAAATGGGTCTCTTATGTGCCAAACTAATTTGATTCTTGAAGCTTGTTGTTTTGTAGCAAGTGGGTTGGTGGTTTGAAAGGTTGTGCAAGAGAGAGCATGAGTAATTTGTATGTTTTGATTGTGATTTTATTCCTTGGTTTTGCTTGAGGATAAGCAAAAGCCTAAGTGTGAGGGGGTGATGTTATCACATATTTGCTTGTTATTATAGTTATTTTTGAATCATCACAATGATTAAGTTCTTTAATTTTGTCTATTTAATACATATTTTCCTTGCTATTATCATTTAATTATGGTTCACACTTGTTTTGAATGTTTTACGGTGTTTGTTAGTGTTTTTGAACCATTCTAGGTCAAAGATATGAGCAAGGGAAGTTCAAGGATGAGTTTTGAGCAATTTTGGACAAGTTCGGTGCCCAGAGGACTCGACGCGTCGAGCCAAAGGCTCGACACGTCGAAAATTTCCAGAAAGTCTTCCGATCGAGACCATCAGGTCTCGACGCGTCGAGCCATAGCTCGACGCGTCGAGAATGACGCGAAGAATTACTCATGCGGCAAAGCTTACTGCATGGTGGGCTGCAATGTTGGAGCAACAATTATTCCCTAATCATTGGGACACTCCTTCCTAAGTCAAAGCTTGCTAGCTATAATAACATTCCAACCAAAATAGTGGAACGGCAATTTCTTATTTTAAATATAGGAATTATAATTTGAGTCCAATTTTGTACAAGATTCCTATTTCATCTCAACTTTGTACCCACTATAAAATCCCTCCTTCCTCAACCCTAAAGACCGAGAGATTTTGAGAGTTCTTTGTAGACAAGAAAGAGAGAAATCGAGAGGCTCAAGTCGTCTTTGGAAGCAAGGAGGAAGCCAGGGAGATTTGGGAGAATCGCTTGGTTAATTCTTGTACTCTTCTGATGATTTGTAATCCTTTATTTATATTTGCTATGTATAATTTAGCCATGCTCGGCTAAATTCCTTAGGGATTTTTGGGTGAATTTGTTTATGAACCTATGTGCCTAGTTCGTTAATTTCTTAATATATTTATGTTTGGTTTTATGATTTGTGTTGCAATCTTGTTTTAATCTGTTGTTGTTGGTAGTTAAAGGCCTAAATTACTAGCTTCACAGTCATGTTTGTGTCACCAATGGGAGTTGGGGCATAAATTAGGGCACACACGATTGCACCTAATGGTTGGTCCTTGGGAAAGGGGAACTTATTAGGGGAAGTTTATTCTAGATTATTGCTCATCGGGAGGTGGTAGTGATTAGGAATAATTGAATGCTGATCTTTGATATTATTGGGTGTTTAAGCCATGGGAGTGGAAATTCACTAGGAATAGAGATTACGGGAGTAATTCGATTCCACTTTGCATTCCCATACAAATCTTAATTCCAAACCAAATATTACAAACGTTAATTGGCACTAGGTGATTAAACATTGTGATCCCAAGAATCCTATTTTGCTCTATTGTCTACAAAACCTTGCTACTTATTTTATTCTGCTTGTTATTTTATGCAATCAATCAACCTTCAAGTTTTGTTCGGACTAGTTTCATATGAGTAACCTAGTAGCTAGTGATTAGTACACCACCTCTCTGTGGTTCGACAACCCGAATACTCCGGGTATTATTTGTTTGCCCCAAATTACAGCAATCATCCTCCTCCTCAGAACTGTGGTCGTGGTGGTCCCTCTTGCGGGGAGGAGCCGAGGTGGATGGCGCCTGGCCACCCCCCTTCCGCCATACATTGCTCTGCTTCTGGCCCTGGGCCTGATCCTGCGCCTGGCCGGGCTTCTTGATGAATTGGCCGAGGTAGCCCATTTGGATGAACTGCTCGATTTGTCTTTTTAGGAGGATGCACTCGTCTGTATCGTGCCCTTTCTGCCAGTGGAACTTGCAGTACTTGTTGGGGTCCCCCCTCGTCGATATCTTCATGCACTCCTCCTTCGGGAATACCATGATTCCCTGGTCCTCCGCATGCGCCAAGATAGTAACCACGGGTTGTGTCAGCGGGGTGAGATAGCGTGTGGGGTTCATCCTGGGCCCCTCAGCGTACTCACGCCGGTGTGGTCGGGGCGCCTTGCGCTCCTCCTGGGGTGCCTTGTCTTTTCGACCTCTTCCTTCTTCCTACTCCTTCTTCTTCTTCTCGGCAGCCTCGGCGTCAGCGTACCTCGCTGCCTTGTCCATTAGGTCGGTGTAGGTCCTGGGGGGGTACCTGATGAGGTCCTGGTGAAAAGCGCCCGACCTCAAGTTGTTCCGGAAAATTACCATGGCCGATTTCGCATCAAAGTCGGCGACCCCCATGACCTCTTTCTTCCACTTGCTGAGGTACTCGGCTAGTGATTCCGAGCTCCCCTGCTTCAAATCACACAGGTCGGCAATTTGCTTCTTCCGTTGTATGCTGGTGGCGAAATGGGATAGGAACTGCCGGGTGAGGTCCGCAAAGGTGGAGATGGACCCCGCTGGGAGGGATCCGAACCAATCATGCGCCTGCCCGTCCATGGTGGCGAAGAACCCCCTACACAGGATGGCGTCCGTTGCCTCGGTGATCATCATGGCGGCTCTGTACCTGGTCATGTGTGCCCGCGGGTCCGTGGTCCCCGAGTACGCTTTAATTGTGGGAAAGCGAAAATCTCGAGGTAAGGGCTCCTCCATGATGGCGTTTGCGAACGGGGAGGACAACCTCCATGATGGAGTTTGCGAACGGGGAGGACAACACATCCTGGGGCTCGGGGGATCTGTCCCTCTCGTCGAACTTCCTCTGGAGCTCATCCATCCTCCTCCGCAGCTGCTCGACCTCTACCCGATGGGAGCTCGGAGCTCTACCATTCATTTCTCCTGATCGTTCGACCCGGGAGGCCTGTGCACGCCGAGGTGGGACTCGGGTCCCCTGTCTAGGGGACCCCCGCGGGCCTGCCTCTTGTCGCGGCGGGGCCCCGGGGTCCGTGGCTCGGCGTCCTCCGGGTGACTGACTGCTGACGTGCCTGCCTGCGGGAGCAGGACTCTGCTGGTGGGGGCTCATTAGCAGCAGGCCTTGGGCCCAACCTCTCTCGGGCTGGCACCCGGTCGCCCAACCTCTCCAGGGCGGACCTGGTTTGGGTTGGGGCCCTTCCATCGTCGTCACGCTGGCGGTCTCGGCGGGAGTCCCCTCTTCCCCGCCTCTCCGATGGTCGAGGCGAGTTGACCTCCCCCTGGGTGACGGGTGTCTGGGGCGGTCGGGTGCTCGGGCCACTGCGCCCCGGGGGGAGGGAGAAGGTGGGGGCGACGCCGGCGTCCCTCCGGTGGTGCCTAAGGCGGCTTGTTCCTCTGCTCGGAGGCTCGCCGCGACGCGCGCCAGCGCGGTGGAAGCTTGTTCGAAGACTGCCACCCCCTCCTGGATGAGTGCGCGAGCTGGAGCGGGGGCGGCGGGGGGTGCTGGTGGCGCACCACTGCTACGGTGGTTGGTGCCGTTGGATGCTGGGGGCGGGGGCCCCGTTGGGGCCGTTCCCGTTCGCGACGAGCTGGGTGCCGCGGGAACCATTGGTATGACGAGAGTTGGATCTCGATCTTGCCATCGCTGGGGATGAACGATAGTGGGGAGAGCGCTTAAGCTTATACAGCAGCTCTCAACAAGAGCACCAATGATGGATTTAATTAACCCGGGGTCTACCCGAATCACTAAATCCAGATAAGAACGTATAATTAGAATAATAAACAAATAATATAGAACGATATCGTGAAGGTCGCGGTGGACCGTATATTATATTAATTGCCGTAGTATTTGGCTATTACAAAGATTCGGTATGACAAAAGTGTGTAATAATCGTATAACGTGGAATGAATTGCCCCTTGTTAGGACAAGGAGGGGGGTTTTTATACAAGCAAACCCCCAACCGCCTCCCCTTAAATCGGGGGTGGTTAGATCTCAAGCTTGACCGGGTCCGGGTGGACCGGGTCGGGTCGGGTCCTGAGCCCGGGTGGTGCCGAGCTCGGGTAGGACCGAGCTCCCCGACCCGAGCTCCACGTAGGTCGGCTCGGGTCGGGGCACCTCCATGGTGCTCCGGGTCCGCGTTGCTCTTGGGCACCTCCGTGGTTAGGGGTGTGCAAACTTCGGATAATTTTCGGTTAACCGACCGAACCGACAAATTTCGGTTAACCGTTTTCGAACCGAACTTTTTCGGTTCGGTTAATGGTTAAAGAAATTTTAAAACTTCGGTTAACGGTTAATTCGGTTCGAAAGGTCGGTTAACCGAATTAACCGAACGGTTAACCGAAGTTTGTAATATATATATAAATAATAATATAAATATAAATACTAATTTGAAGTTATGGATGTTTGGAGTTTATAATTAATGTTTTTGTATATTTTGTTATGAATTTATTATAATATGTATTTTATTTTAATTGGATTTATTATTTTAGGTGTTATTTTTAGAATTTTAAATTTTAACTTTAAAAAGTTCGGTTAATCGGTTAACCGACCGATTAACCGAAAAAAATTTCGGTTCGGTGAATTCGGTAGAGAAAACTTCGGTTCGGTTAATGGTTAAAAGAAAAAAAACTTCGGTTAATTCGGTTCGGTTAAAACGGTTCGGTTAACCGAACGGTTAACCGATTGAACACCCCTATCCGTGGTCCCCCGGGTCCGTGTCGCTCTTGGGCACCTCCGTGGTCCCCCGGGTCCGTGTTGCTCTTGGGCACCTCCGTGGTCCCCCGGGTCCGTGTTGCTCTTAGGCACCTCCGTGGTCCCCCAGGTCCGTGTTGCTCTTGGGCACCTCCGTGGTCCCCCGGGTCCGTGTTGCTCTTAGGCACCTCCGTGGTCCCCCGGGTCCGTGTTGCTACCCCGGGTCGGGTCGTGGGTATAATATATCCATCAATTATAATATATATATATATATATATATATATATATATATATATATATATATATATATATATATATATATATATATATATATATATATATATATATATATATATATACAGAGTTGCACTCGGGTGCGAACGGCTCGCCCAGGCGCGAAATAGGAATGGATTCTGTTCGTCCACGTGTCCAGATCTAATGGATGAAAAACACTGATTTTTTAAAAAAACGCGGTGGCATTTTCGTAAATAATTGAACATCGAAGTGCAAGTAAAATGTATTACAAGTGCATGTAAAATGTATTATAGGTGCAAGTAAAAATTTACACTGAGCATCAATACTTAGTTGCACTTATAGTTCTAAGTAGTTGCACCTATAATTCTAAGTAGTTTCACACATAGGTATAAGTAGTTGCATCTAGGTGTATGAATGTTTGCGAGTGGTTTTCAGGAGTATTACTACCCGCTGAACTCAGATCAATGAATGTTAACAAGACAAACTTACATGCACTTATAGGTGAAAGTAGGTGCACATATAGTTATAAGTAGTTGCACCTATAGTTATAAATAGTTGCACAGATAGTTATAAGCACACCCAGGTGCATGAATGGTTGCGGAAAGTGAATGCTAACAAGGCAAAATTACATACACTTATAGGTGAAAATAGGTGCACTTATAAGAGATTTTACTTGCACTTCGATGTTCAATTATTTACGAAAATGCCACCGCATTTTTTTTTTAAGTTATTAGATCTGGACACGTGTCACGCGCTGATTCGTTCGCATTTCCTTCCTAGGCACTTATTCGCACCTGAGTGCGTCCCTACATATACATATATATATATATATATATATATATATATATATATATATATATATATATATATAAGTAAAATCTTCTTTCTCAAATTTTCCCCCCAAAACTTAGAGGCATTTATGTAATATCATAATTTAATTAATTATAGAAATTATATATTATATATTATTCATTTATCCATATCCGTGTATAGAAAATTGTGTGTGAATAATATATATTAGGTTATTAGGTAATGATTAGGTAGTAGTGTATATTAGATTACATATTTACCATATATGCATATTAGAATGGTATATTAAGCAGAGTAATACGTGTAGTATTTTACTAGAAGTTATTTTAGTAAAATAATTAATTTTATTAATTAACCATATATATTTTCGTAAAATTAGCAATCAATTATTATTACATATTATATATTCAGCAATTCTCTTCTGAACTTCTTCGATAGAACAACCACCATCTATATCTACAACAGCACCGGTTAGATTTCTTCTTATACTATCATTTCGTGTATATCTTATGCGACGTCGTTCCTTCTTCGCTATAATTTTTATGGCTTTAATTCATCTTGATTTTAGTGTTGCAGCAGATAACGAGTTGTATGGAGAGAAACAAAGGTTGTTCTGTGATTTCTACGGGTGAGTTTTTCATTATCTTAGTTTTTTTTTTCTTTGCGGGTTTTGTGTTTTTTTTTTCATAGATTTCTTCTTCTACTATCATTTCCTGTACGACGTTGTTCCTTCTGCGCCATAGTTTTCCTGACTTTAATTCATCTTGCTTTTAGCGTTGCAGCAGATGACGAGTTGTATGGAGAGAGACAAAGATTGATACACGATTTGCATTGGTGAGGCTTTTATTATCTTAGTCTTTCATTTTTCGTTTTGGGTTTTGTGTTTTTTTTTGTGCATTTTCTGATTTTAAACAAGAAAAGTTGTTCATAAGAAAAAACAAATATGTGTTTTGTTTATTTGTGGGAAAAGATACGGATTTAGAAAGATCGATCGGGAAACAGTAGAGTTCCTTGCTCATCAAGTGGATAAAGTTTGGAGAGGGACGGATTCTCTGTATATGTAAACATATAGAGAGGGAAGCATGATAGGATCAGAATACAGTAAAAAAAAAGACCGATGGCAAGATTCAAAAGAAGGTGGTGGAAAGTTGTTCCTCTTCATCTGATGAAGATACTTCTTCTAATTCTGAGGAATAATTAAAGGTTGGTTGATTAAAATATCTCTGTATATGCATGCTTGAAAGTGTCATTTACTGTTGTATGCTTTTATTGACATAAATTTAATTTTCTGTAATTAGATTCTTATAAAAATTATTGTTCTTATATTTTTTTTTTTGTTTTTGTTTTTAGAGTATGGATTATTTATTCCATTCAATGATAAAAAAAAAATTATGGGTTGTCAGAAACCCACTCTTAAAACTATAGTTGCACCTAAGAAATCAGTTTGACAAATCTAAAATCTGGTGTGTTATGCAAGAAGGATTTTATTTTTTATTAATAACATATATTATAATATGATTAATATTATTAAAGTAAGAAATTTATATATGATAGATTAATAAATATAATTATGGTAACATTTATTTAAAATTTAATGAAATTTAAATATAATCCTCATATGTAGTTTCCCGCCCAAACTTTTGTTAATATGAAGTTATTTTGTCACTAATATTTTTTTCCAACTTTATTTAGTTATTTGACTATTCTTGTCATTTTAGGACTTTCTGGATTGAGAGGTGTTTGAAAGTACTATTGGAACTTTGGAGTCTAACAAGCAATATGGTGATAAGGATGGTAGATCTGTTAACTAAAAGGGTGAAGTGCCAAATAGCACCATGAACCAATTGCGATATGTCATACCGCACCCTGAACTTACATAAGTGATTATTCAATTCATAAATCGAAAAAT